TTACAATGGTTACGAGCGTATATTTCACTGACATAATGCGTGTTTCACACCTGGGCCCGCCAGGTCAGTGTATGATCGGAAGAGGGTGATCTGACCGAAAGATATGGCAACCCTGAACGGGGCGTTAGGGTTGTATAATTAAATTTAAATGAATTTTAGAATTTGGACTTTTGCCGGAAGTGGTAGGGGATGAACCACGGGAAGGTTTGATTGGTGCTTGTTTTGTTGGTTTTATGTTTTGTGTTTGCGTGCTTTTTTCATGTTAGCACGAGTTGGTCATGTGGGATTATGTGTGACCTAGAAGGCCCGTTTTGATAAGAAATATACCTAAGACTTTGAAGATTTGTGTGTTATTTAATCTGCTCAGGGTGTTTTGTAGTGTTTATTGTGTGTTAGTGTCCAGCAAACTCTGGAGCACCATTCTGTGTTGTGCTGTGTGAGAGTAGTACGATGTGTTCGGGCGTTTCTGTTTCGTTGCAGTGTGTGCATTTGTCTGTTTGGTGGGTTTTTAAATTGTATGTAGATGGGAATTTAATTTTGTGTGACCTGTCTGTAATTTGGTTATGAATGGGGAACATATATATAATTCTGGACACAACAATGGACAGGCGGATGATCTGTTTGATTGGCATTTAGAAGTTGGTGACTAATAAGAAAGTAAGATTGTTTATGGATAACAACTTCTTTTCATTATATATGATGCGACGTTTCGGTATGGATTCTTATACCGTTGTCAAGCAAAGAGTGAAGTACTACAGCACAGAACAGGGATTAAGTAATAACAACATGTAGGTATGAATCAAGGGATTAACAACAACAACAAGGCACGGTGGTAATAATGTAGTGACAATAGGAGGAAGCCAATGGTCCTAGAGGCAGAAACAAAATATACATGGCTGTGGAGATTATGAAATCCGGAGACACGAGCCCTCAATCAACAGAGACCAGGGATATCTCATCCCTTCTGCATACAATGAACTGATAAAAACAACAGATTAGAGCACTCCAGCTATCATTGCTAATTAATCTCATCAGCCATGTATACGTCGCATCATATATAATAAAAGAAGTTGTTTTCCATAAACAATCTTACTTTCTTATTGGACAGGCGAATAGACAACAATGGACAGACAAAGAAACATTAGCATTGCCTTGAACTAAATAAGGTTACAAATGTGATACACAGTAATGGGGAACATTCCTGGAGTTGCGCCCCCTTGCCCGCTTGGAGCGCTGCGGTAGTTACGGTCCAACAGTAGCTATCACTCTGATACTTGCCTGCCTATAGGTCAAGCCTAAACTTAAATCGACATTAAACCTACTTTTAACTCTGTGGTTCTTATATTACGAATTGCGGAATCTGGAAGTTTCAAGCATCGTAATATTGCTGCGCATTTGAAATCGACCGTGCAACAAACTTTGAACGACATCATTATGCCGGAAGTACACTTAGGACCGTAGTGATTGGCGCCATCTATTGGCGAAGCTGTAAAAGGAGATAACTGAGGAATGTTCCCCATTAATGAGAACTACAGCGTGACATGGGTTGACTGACAAGTCAATGTACAATGTGGTGGTGATGAAGAGTATGGAGATTAGCCCTATATAAATGATTGCAATTTAGTCTTGCATGTCTTTGACACACAGTTTCTGGCCTTTGGAAATATTTGGACGATTGCTGTCCTGAATTAGTCGCTATGGCAGCATTAAAATTATTTGGGAAATGTTTAATGACATCTGATGAAGACAGGGACTCGATTATCGGCTCTTAGCAATCCCTGACATATGCCTGCATTGTCGAAATATACAGGACATGATCAGCGAGAGAAAACCAACTAAACAAGTAAGACTGTATTTCCCCGAAAACACCCACAACCAGTCTTTGTCCACAGTGAAAGTTTCGTTTTTTATACAATGTAAATACGGAAAATGGTCCGAACGCCTTTTATCATTAAACTTCATTATTTCTAAAATAGATGTATACTGTCTCCACCAGAGGTATACGCAGCACATACATTTAAAACATACATTTCATCTTCTTTCATAATAAGCCAACTGCGGGGACATTATACGTTGTACACGTATTTATCTTACCGAACACCTTAATGTTAATTTTGAATTGTTTGACAAGAAAAACAGATTTAGAGTTATCTCCCTTCCATCGATTGGCATTCGAAAACATCGGTAATTTCCGTACATTATACGTGATTCAATGTTATTCGAGAAAATAATTACTACCACGAAGTACAGAATGAGTTGGCATTGACAGCGGGTAAATTGAAATGTTACTCGCTTGTAAGCGGGGTACATTGAAAATAACAGAAGAGCGCTCAGCCAATCAGAAAGCGACATTTATATGTGAGGTAAGATAAACATCAGTGTATCCTAATGTCTCTGTATAAAGTGCAAAACGTCCACATTCCATTCACCAACTTCCATATTACTGGATGCAGTTTCACAAACTTTCTGGAATAATATAAACATTTTATCTGTAATAGCAATAAAGCCCGTTCATTCGCTTTTCACAATTAAACTTCACTGTGTCTACTGCTGTGCCTGACATTGCCTGAAAAAGGAACAGCTTTTCAGCATCTGTCAGTATCTTGCGAGTAGAAACCTTTGAAGAATAATACCACATGTTAAGCAGACTGAACCGAATTTGGAACAGCAGTTCACCAAGAATGTCCCTCAAATTCGAATCGTGTACAGGTTTGTGTTGACGTTTACATTCCGCCTCTGCCCAGCGAAGCATAGCCTCGAAGACGAAGCTTTCCTCACAAGCCAAAGAGTCGGAGGAAATGACGTCAAAAACGTATGCGCGCGAGAGCTGAATGAATCCGGTTGTTTGCAACACTGCCATCCCCTTTTGGTGAATGAAAGAGAGACAACTCTTGTACAACTGCTTCTCGCCAAAGAAGTGAGCTTGTTCGAACAAGGGACACACGTTGTCGACAGACATCATGTCCTTGACGAAGTCCACGCACTTGGTCAACAGAGACTGGACGTTGTACTTCTTGCAGCAGTAAAGGACAGAAAACACGTTGTCCATGTCAATGAGTACTTCATCACAGTAGAGGTAGCTGAAATAGTCAGTATAAAATACATTAACCGATGTACAAAGAAAGTATAGGCCTGATGTTTTGGAATTATTTCCCCAAACAAAGTAAACATTTTATAAAGTGTTTTGATTGTTGCTTACAAATCATAAACATTGTGTTCGTATTGAAAACACACACACACACACACACACGCACACGCATACACACCACCACAACACATCCATTCAGAGGTGTGAGTACAAAATCGTGATTTTCGCATGAATCGCATGTGCATGTTATTCTCCGGTTCTCTGGGTTCGCAAAGTGGTTCAAAACGTTGGCACGTCACGTCACATTGTTTTGATTCCCCACATAGGCACAATGTGTAGAGCTCATTTCTGGTGTCCCCCGTTATGATATTGCTCAAATAGTGCTTAAAGCGGCGTAAAAGCCATACTCAATCACTGCTCTGTGCACCGCTCCGGTATGAAACACAGTTGATTTCCAAGATTATCTGCAGACGCAGATACTCAAAATGACTTTAAAATATCTCTCGGACTGAACATTCATGTAACCTTGCTGTCACACCCTGGTGGAATTTCAAATGGATTCGCTTTAAAAATATGAATGACCAAAAACACTCAGACTAAAATATCCCCAGAGCTATGAAGTATAAGCCCAGTGTTAATGATTAAGGTTGATTAGTTACATACAAATACGATATTATTGTTTTGAAACTCGTAGCGATTATGATGACATTTCCTAAAATTGGTCGAAGCGCACGTACAATCTCCATAACAAGCCTGCAAGATCGTGAGAGCTATACACTCAGTTGGACCCATGAGAGCAGTTATGTCAACAAACGCACGTGCGTGTATTTGAATCTCACCGTTAATCGCACGATTCTTATTAAAACTTCATAATAGGCAGCAAAATCCTTTTAGCTACGTTCTTTGTACTTTCAATATGACGATATATATTTTTCATGATTCTTTAGACAATAACATAATGCCATAAACGATTTAAGTACTCAGGATTATTTTTATCAATGCACCGCGGTCATTTACGCGCGTTTTGATTGGTTTGTCGTATTTACGCACATAACAAGCATCGAGAGGGGGACGAGTCTTCTTGGAGTTTACGGAAAGGGGCGAATGATCTAATGCAATGAGACTGGTCATACCGTAAGAATATCTTGAAGGGTTCCATCTCAGTATCAGGAACATCTACATCATGACTTTGGGGAATCGACCCGTTGAACATGGTAAAGAAGACGTCACTCCTGGCACTCAGCACATACTTGTGGGCACCTACCGGCGACTTCGACTGCCCAACCTTAAACTTGACGTCACACGCAAGCTGCTGGACAAGCATCCGTCGGTTACTTTCAATGACTGTATCTTCGGGGTTGTCAGTGGTTGCAGATGCTACAAATGTTAAAATATTGAAAATGTTAAGATGTTCATCCCTTTGTCAGATTAGGAACTCATGAACTAATGTTAACGGATTGGGACTCTATCCTACTTGAAGGTATGGTAAACTTCAGTTTGGTAACCCTCATCAGCCACTGTTAGCATCTTTATTGTGATTCCATGTCTCAGTCTCTTAATTAATCAGCATTAAGTTTATCCAAACACAAATGAGCCATGAAGATGTTGGTTTGAGGAAGATTCGACTAAAGGCAAGATGTCAATATGAAAGTAGTTGTATACTGTGGACAAAGGTCAGATCAATATCAATAAATGGATCCGAATTTATTTAACCTTCGTCCCACGACCATTTTAACAAAAATTCTCCCTTTGTCACAACTACTTTTGTTGCAAAATGTTTAAAAGGCAAGTACATTCTGCGGCAAATACGATAGAAAATATAAACATGTAACATGTTTATTTATTTAATGATCATCGATCTCCATGAGCTATATCGATAGTCGTATTTCTGAACCAACAGAAGAATCAGGTGTCGTTATCCACTAGTAAAGATGCCAGTCTTCCTGATTTTTTTCTTTCTCTCACTCTTTATTACCACAAATGGGGCGGTCGGGTAGCCTAGTGGTTAAAGCGTTGGTTCGTCACGCCGAAGACCCGGGTTCGAATCCCCACATGGGTACCATCTGTGAAGCCCATTTCTGGTGTCCCCGCCGTGATGTTGCTGGAATATTGCTAAAAGCGGCGTAAAACCAAACTCAGTCAGTCAGTATTACCACAAATAAAATACCACCATTGGTACATACCGACCTACATATGTCACGTGGTCAGGGCACCACGGTCGTTTTTCACACATATCTTCATTCAACATCACTAATAGAAATACACTCAATACAAGGTTTATCGATTATTTGCTGTGAAGATAAAGTCAAAAGTAGATGACATTATCATTTTATGTTTATAGGAACTACGGTATATTACTTCTAGAGCGTTGGAACACTGTTTGTGACATTACTCTCGTATACATAAAGTTTTGTTTCAGTGAACACATAATTAAGACTGTAATGTCAGCCTTATCTAAAGAATCTGTTTCCCTGACATCGAAGCAATACATTCTCTCTGTAATTTTGTGGTTTGAAATATTTACAAAAATCATGCTGTTGCCAATCACTAAACTTTAACCAGAAAGGTGAGACTGGTGAACAATACAACACGTGCTGATTAACAGTATCAGTTAATCACACTTCGCAGTATTCTTAATGTTAAGTTTATGTAAGTAAACGTTACATGGAACAATAGAGCATAAAATATTAAAATGAAGTTGTTTAAATTTTTTCAAGCGGTTAACTCATGATAGGTATCCATTTTTCTTCTCTCAACTTCCGGTGATGTCTTAACTAATTTCTGTTGGAAATAAATTGTACCAAATGTGGATTTTATTGGCGTTTCTTTAACAAATGCTGTCAATTAAGGGGTACTCTGGTAGCGTGGATTGGGGGTATTCTTGTTGTCTACATTCTGCCCTACATGATGTTTTTATAATCTCTTTTAGAAGTGAAAATGTTAAACTGGCGGTATATTTTGATTGTGATAAAAGGTTGAAGAGTTCATTAACTTACTGTCTTATAAAAATTAGTCCTGCTTTCTCTTTCATTCATTATCATTTATTACTCATGAGACTTTTAAATAATATTTCACAAAATCGTTTTGTTATTCGATATCGCAGCATTATATTAATTCTCATCATCTTTGGTAAACCCCTCCTGCCAATGCTGTAATACCTTCTCATAAAATGCGGGCAATTTAAACTTCAATATTTTTCACACTAAAAGCATAGTAGTAAAGGTGCAGGGAACCCAATTTATTAAATATGTTTTCAATAATACCCTTCCAAACGCTATTTTTATAAACATATACTATTCCAAAAACAGAAACGCATAACTAAGAAATATGTTGCGAAAATGTTGTATTTTCAAACATGTATAACGCGTCCACAAATAGACTTTAGGACATGACTTTTTACATCAGTTTAGAACAAAGTAATGTCTAGACAACCAAGTGGATAATGTTAGATAACGGAGACGTTGAGCGCGATGGTGACCACGTAGCATGGCCCCGACGTCAGTTCTCCTGGCTCTCAGTCCAATCTCTCTCAACCTGTTCCGTACAGTTTGACCGGATATCCTGCGAAGTCCAGACGCCCTGGCTGGTGTGCTCTCACCCGTGGCAGTACGATCACGCAAATGTAGTACCCGGATGTACCGATCTTGGGCTGCAGTGGTGACTCGAAGTCTGCCTGGACGGGGACGTCATTTGTTATACCTGTTTGGTTGTAACGAGCTGCAAGCAGTGATATCGTGTTCAGACCCACATTCAGACGCCTGGCAACAGAAAAATTGGTAATCTCCAGCGTGCATTCGTTCAATGGCGATGTTCCGTGTCGCAGCGTCAAGACGTTGGGTAGTGATTTGACCTTCAAACTCCTTCAAAACGATTTCCGAAATAATCTGGATTTTTATAGCCAGAAAGTGCTTGCTCTTTGCTGCACAATTTCAACTGGAAGGTGATTTCCGTTGCGTTGTAGTGATGCCGTTTTAATTCTTGTAAGAAATCTCATCAAAATCAACATTTTCAGGTAAACTCGATTTTTTACCTGTGCAATAGTGTAAAATCATGTTATAAACACTTTCGTTACATATTTTGACGATTGTTTGAACACAATTGGTAATTAATAGATTTTAAAATACAAAACGCATATGCGTTTCTTTTCGGGATAGTATTTCTAGAAATCCATAAATGTTTACGTGACACCCATTAATAATAAGTTTCCCCTTCAATTTTATCTTTTGACATCTGTTTCCCAGAAACCTTCTCTGATGAGCTGTTCCATATGAACTAAAACAAACTTCTGTCAACCTTTTAAAACGATCTTGAGGGATTACTGAAGAACTTAATGGATAAATAAGCCTGGAAATTCCCTCTGATTTTGTTAATAAAGTTCTACCATAAATAGTTAATTCTCCAGTTGTCAGGGCGTTTTAAAATTTGTAATCTACATTCAGCAACGTTAAAGGTATATAAATAGAAGATATTATGTGAGTGCCCATGTCATACTATGTTTACGATACGAGTGCCTAAATGTTGGTATCCTTTTACGTTACCCATGTATTCTATTATGTCATGCTTATTTAAAACTATACCTAAATATTTATATTTTCAACCTTTCTAAGCCCTTCAATCGAAGTAGAGATGTTATTATATCCTATCTTCATTGATTGAAATAAAGACAGATTTGTTCACATTGATTTCAAATCCTGTAAATTGAGTTTGGTATTCATGAAAAATTATAGCATTGGCTACCGATGTTATACATCTAAGCATGGGTGCAGAATCGTCAGCAAAATATATTCCTTTCATGATTTCATTATTGATTTTGAGAACTTCTAATGTGTTTTAAACTGCGGAATTTATTGTTTATCATCTATGTGCATAAAAAATAACGGACTGATCGGACACCCTTGTTTTACACTCCAAGAGTTACTATAACAGTTTGTAGGTCGTTTATTATTAGTGACACAAGAAATGTTTCATTGAGACAGATCTTTATACTTTTTATCATACGATCTGTGAAAAACAAACTTATGTAATGATGTTTCAATTAATTCATGTTCTGCAGAATCAAATACGTTTTCAGAATCTAAAAATGACAGATATGCTTTATCTTCATTAACGTCTAGGAGATCGACCAAAACCTAATATTTTCCTGAATGACTCTGTAAATAAATCCTGTCTGTGATTCGTCGATTAGACAATCAATTACAGTTTTAAGCATGTAGCGATGGCTTTTCAAAATTGTAATCTACATTCAGCAACGTTAAAGGTATATAAATAGAAGATATTATGTGAGTGCCCATGTCATACTATGTTTACGATACGAGTGCCTAAATGTTGGTATTTCCTGAGCGAGAGCGAGGGGTATACCGATATTTACGCACATACTACATGTCATACATATCATACTACACGCTGCACTAAATTGTCCTTACAGATATAATCAATGTTCTCATTAGTCTGATCCTGATACCTGTAAATTTGTGACACCTGTGGAATTGCTGTGTGACGAGAGAATTGAAAGTCACGTGCATTTGTCTGTGATTTTCGTGGAATTCACGTGAAACACATTTTTCATGTCTCAAAAACAATGAAAATCATCCCGTGGCCGATGCATTATTGCATACCCACTGAGACATTCTCCTGGAAGGGTAAAACATTGTTAAAGTTTGAAAACCAACCATGGGACGCAGAAGAGGCATGCCTGAAAATCAGAGACATGAAGCGATTGGGAGACTGAATGCTGGTCAAACAATTACAGACGTAGCGCGTCATTTCAACGTGCACAGGAGCACAATTTCACGTCTCCAGACACGTGTACAGCAGACCGGTCATGTCAGAGATCGGCCACACTCTGGCAGACCCCGTAAGACCACACCCCGGGAAGACCGATTTTGGTGACGTCACGGGTTTACAAGTGCTCCAAAGATGGCTAGACAGTTGCAACAGGCCACCGGCACGACTGTTCATCCCCAAACGGTAAGGAACCGTTTGCACACGGCCCGATTGTTTGCCCGACGCCCAGTGGTTGGAGTTCCATTGAGTCAACGTCACAGACAGGAACGTTTGCAATGGGCACGTGCTCATCGGCGCTGGCGTCGTCAACAATGGAACCAGACATTATTCACTGATGAATCACGTTTCTGTGTGGAATTTGCAGATGGACGACGCAGAGTATGGCGTCGAGTGGGTGAACGTTATGACGCCAATAACGTCATCGAACGTGAGTGCTATGGAGGAGGAAGCATTATGGTTTGGGTTGGGATCCAAGCAGGAGGAAAGACAGACTTGATTCTTGTCCCAGGAAACCTGAATGCTCAACGTTACTGCGACGAGATCATCAGACCAACTGTCATCCCATTCATACAACGAAATCCCGGCTTTACGTTTCAACATGACAACGCTAGACCACACACAGCCATTCGAACAAGAGATCTTCTTCGGCAACACAACATTCAACCTGTACATTGGCCAGCAAGATCCCCAGACCTCTCTCCCATAGAGCATGTGTGGGACATTCTCGGCAGGAGGGTCAGAGAACATCACCCCCTTATTGATAACCGTCGTGACCTTGAAAATGCCCTCATTCGTGAATGGGGTAACATTAACGTTGGTGAGTTGAGAGCAGTTGTTAACAGCATGAGACGGCGATGTACAGCTGTAATTCAGGCCAATGGAGGCCACACGATATTGACGTTTTTGGAGCAGTACCCCACTCTTGATTTTGGGGTCATAGTGGCGTTATGGAGAACAATGAATACAAGTCTGAGTGATTTCAAAATGGAAAAATCAAATGTTAAACCAACATGATTTAGATATACAATATATTTTTGGTACCACGTGATTTTTGTCATTTTTACACCAACGTGCTAAACTTTTTGATTGAGTATATAATATCCCTATATATTAAGAGGATCTTTATCTTTCATGTGTAAGAATATCAGCGTGCCACTTCTTTGGGACACTGTGTGCATACCATTATCCAATGAGTGGTTTAACGCTGACGTGTACTGACCCTTAATTCGGAATCTTCAAGGATCTTTCAGTCCCGTACACTCTTTCAAAACACCGTGTATAATATATTATCGCATCTCGTATCTGGGTCATGCGCCGCAACATTCCATTCTGGATCACCGTGACCTTAGATATCGCCTTCTCGTGTTTGTTGGATGTCTGCTTCAATGTATTCATTTCCGCATGAACAAAGTCAGTCGAGGACTTAAGGTTTTGAATTTCGGTTCTCAACTCACTTTTGCAGAGACGAATGCTTAGTGGAGAGTGACCATCGGTATAGTTTCTGGGGCCTCGCCGTCAGCTAAACGTTGTTCGCCTTGTTGGATGCCTTCAATGTCACTCTCGGCCTCCCTTTCATGTCGAGTGGAGATCAATCCTGTGCAGTTTTGACTCGACGCCTCCGTCTTGGCTAACCCAAGCTGATCCAGAGCACCTGTCTTGACCAACCTAAGCTGATCCAGAGCACCTGTCTTGACCAACCTAAGCTGATCCAGAGCACCTGTCTTGACCAACCCAAGCTGATCCAGAGCACCTGTCTTGACCAACCCAAGCTGATCCAGAGCACCTGTCTTGGACCAAGGTGATCCAGAGCACCTGTCTTGACCAACCCAAGCAGATCCAGAGCACCCATCTTGACCAACCCAAGCTGATCCTGAGCACCTGTCTTGACCAAGGTGATCCAGAGCACCTGTCTTGACCAACCTAAGCTGATCCAGAGCACCCATCTTGACCAGCCCAAGCTGATCCAGAGCACCTGTCTTGACCAACCCAAGCTGATCCAGAGCACCCATCTTGACCAGCCCAAGCTGATCCAGAGCACCCATCTTGACCAGCCAAAGCTGATCCAGAGCACCCATCTTGACCAGCCCAAGGTAATCCAAAGCACCTGTCTTGACCAACCCAAGCTGATCCAGAGCACCCATCTTGACCAGTCAAAGGTAATCCGAGCACCCATCTTGACCAACCCAAGCTGATCCAGAGCACCCATCTTGACCAGCCCAAGGTAATCCGAGCACCTGTCTTGACCAACCCAAGGTGATCCGAGCACCCATCTTGACTACAGCCCAAGCTGATCCAGAGCACCCGTCTTGACCAGCCCAAGGTAATCTGGAGCACCTGTCTTGACAAACCCAAGGTGATCCAGAGCACTCCATCTTGACCAGCCAAAGCTGATCCAGAGCACCCATCCTGACCAGCCCAAGCTGATCCAGAGCACCCATCTTGACCAGCCCAAGCTGATCCAGAGCACCCGTCTTGACCAACCCAAGGTGATCTAGAGCACCCTGTCTTGACCAACCCAAGCTGATCCAGAGCACCTGTCTTGACCAACCCAAGCTGATCCAGAGCACCCATCTTGACCAACCCAAGCTGATCCAGAGCACCCATCTTGACCAGCCCAAGCTGATCCAGAGCACCCGTCTTGACCAACCCAAGCTGATCCAGAGCACCCATCTTGACCAGCCCAAGCTGATCCAGAGCACCCATCTTGACCAGCCCAAGGTAATCCAAAGCACCCGTCTTGACCAACCCAAGCTGATCCAGAGCACTCCATCTTGACCAGCCCAAGCTGATCCAGAGCACCCATCTTGACCAGCCCAAGCTGATCCAGAGCACCTGTCTTGACCAACCCAAGGTGATCTAGAGCACCCGTCTTGGACCAACCCCAAGCTGATCCAGAGCACCCGTCTTGACCAACCCAAGCTGATCCAGAGCACCCATCTTGACCAACCCAAGCTGATCCAGAGCACCCATCTTGACCAGCCCAAGCTGATCCAGAGCACCCGTCTTGACCAACCCAAGCTGATCCAGAGCACCCATCTTGACCAGCCCAAGCTGATCCAGAGCACCCATCTTGACCAGCCCAAGGTAATCCAAAGCACCCGTCTTGACCAACCCAAGCTGATCCAGAGCACCCATCTTGACCAGTCAAAGGTAATCCGGAGCACCCATCTTGACCAACCCAAGCTGATCCAGAGCACCCATCTTGACTCAGCCCAAGGTAATCCGGAGCACCCATCTTGACTTCAACCCAAGGTGATCCGGAGCACCCATCTTGACCAACCCAAGGTGATCCGAAGCACCCGTCTTGACCAGCCCAAGGTGATCCAGAGCACCCATCTTGACCAACCCACGGTGATGCGGAGCACCTGTCTTGACTCAACCCAAGGTAATCCGGAGCACCCGTCTTGACCAACCCAAGGTGATCCGGAGCACCCGTCTTGACCAGCCCAAGGTGATCCAGAGCACCTGTCTTGACCAGCCCAAGGTGATCCGGCGCACCCATCTTGACCAGTCCAAGGTGATCCAGAGCACCCGTCTTGACCAACCCATGTGATCAAGAGCACCTGTCTTGACCAACCCAAGGTGATCCGGAGCACCCGTCTTGACCAACCCACGGTGATCCAGATTACCCGTCTTGACTAACCCAAGGTGATCCGGAGCACCCGTCTTGACCAACCCAAGGTGATCCGGAGCACCCGTCTTAACCAGCCCAAGGTGATCCAGAGCACCCATCTTGACTCAACCCAAGGTGATCCGGAGCACCCGTCTTAACCAACCCACGGTGATGCGGGCGCACCCAAGCCGCGTCAGTGCGCCCGTCTTGTCTGAACAAAAATATCAAATGTCATGGGCAGACTTGTTGTGTCTACCTTGCAGAACGAACAGTCGGTTAGAATAGTAAATTTTATGAATGTATAGAACAGCATTACCTTCCATTTTATCTCTCTTACCTCCATATAAAGAAGCTCTTCTAAACATCTTGTCCACCGCGCACTTGTAGTCAAAGGAAAGCAAGAGCAAACTAAGGTATAATCTCGTGTCCGGGATGACGTGTAGTAGTCACGTGACAATAGTTTACCTGCATCCGGCATATTTACACGAGGTTGTTTGTCTACGTTGTTTCGGTTATATATAAAACAAATGCAGATATACAACAATGAAAGCAAGAATGTTCACGATAAGGAGAGACGAAACCAAGTTATTACGACGATTCAGTTCAGACTGGGTTCGCTGCTCGAACGCCCAATCAGGTTGTAACAACAGGTGTCTTGTTTTAGAGAATATATTAAACGTGACGCGAATTCGAAAGGCTGTGCTTTAAAATAGTTAATTCTTATGAGAGTCTAATGCTGTACCTTTTAGTTGCATAAAATATTATTATTGTTATTGCAAATATTTATAATACACGTGAAGATCCAGGTTAGAATTGGTCTTAAGCAATCCATGCTTGTAAGAAACCATTAATGGGACAGGGTGATCAGGCTCGTTGACTTGGTTGACACATGTCATCGTTTCTCAGTTGTATAGATCGGTGGTCACGATGTTGATCACTGGATTGTCTGGTTCAAACTCGATTATATGCTGACTGCCGCCATATAGCTGGAATGTCGGGGCGTTAAACAACAAACACACAAGCCATCCATGCAAGTGCATATTTTATTTTCGAACACACTGTGTAGGAACACTTGTTGGTGCTATTGTGAACTGTGAAATCGAAATCAATTACATCACTTCAAGAATATCTTTCAGTCTTCCTATTGTTCAGCCAACGAAGAGTATTTTTATATTTTTGTCAAAAAATTGTTGATTCAATCAGTGATAGACTTATTGATTCTTCTGTGGACAATGACTATCTGGATAAGGAAATATCCTACCAAGAAATAATTAATGCTATGTATAATAGAAAAGCACCAGGACTCAGTGGCATTCCAATTGAATTCTTTAAAAAGGCACCTCATCATTGTATTGATTTGTTGAAATCTCTTTTAATAGCATTTTGTATATAGGTATTTATTCATCTGAGTGGACGTATGGAGTTATAATTCCTTTGTATAAGAAAGGTAAAATTGATTGCCCTGGGAATTATAGACCTATTACACTGCTTGAAGTAACTGGTAAAATATTTTGTAAAATTATCAACAACAGGTTAAACTCTTTGGCTGAAAGGGAAGAATTCTTTGTTGACGAGCAATCTGGGTTCAGGCGTGGTGTCCAGACTCATGATAATATTTTCATTCTTAATGATATAATTGGTAAAGATCTTTCACTTTACAAAGGCCGCCTCTATTGTGCATTTATTGATTTGAAGGCCGCTTTTGACTCAGTTGTTAGTTGTGTTCTCCTTTACAAACTTTGGCTTGGAAATGTGAAAGGTAATACCTATAGACTATTGAAAAAATATGTACTAAAATGTTAAAGCTTGTGTGTCGATGAGAGATGGTTACACGCCGTTCTTCGATTGTTTATTAGAGTTCGTCAGGGATGCCAGTTGTCTCCCTTCTCTTTTCCTTCTGTGTCAACGACATTGTTGAATGTCTATCCGCTGATGGTCAGAGGGGTATCAATCTAGGCTTAGTTGTGTTGTTCATCCTATTGTTTGCTGATGATATTGTGCTTTTGACTTTACAGTTATAGGTCTGCAAAGAGGCTAGATAAGCTCGTTTCGTATTGTAACAAGTGGAAATTGAAAATAAATATTGATAGAAGTAACGTTATTGTATTCAGGAAGGCTGGTCGACTAAGACATTACGAAAAATTCCGTTTGAATGGACAGTTGATTAAGATTGTTGCATCATATAAATACTTGGGTGTTCACTTCACTTCTCTGATCATGGCATGTTACACAGAAAACGTTGGCTGACCAATCATGAAAGGTGTTGAATATTGTCAAATCATCGGTTAAGAATTTTCATAATCTACCAATTAATGTTCTGCTCCATATATTTGATGTCAAGGTTTTGCCATTGTTACTATCTGAAGTGACGTCTGAGGTTTCCATCCGTCGTCAGCTGTAGTGAATGTACACGATACGTACTGTAAACAGGTTTTAGGTCTTTCCAGAAACACGCCACGCGCGTGCTGAGATTGGTCGTTATTCATTAAAGGTAAACCAGTATATTACAGTTGTTAAATATTGGGCTCGCCTCCTGTCTCAAGTTGAGAATGTAATCTTAAATAAGGTATATGAGTATCAGTATTGTCTTGCTGAAAAGGTATAGATTGTTGGACTTTTAAGGTGAAATCGTTTTGTACAGTTATGGTTTTGGCAACGTGTGGGTCAGTCAAAGTGTTGGAAATATCTCTACTTTCATATCACCATTTAAGCAAAGATGCATTGACATAGATAATCAGTTATGGTCATCTGGTATTACACTTGTTTCGAAATTAGATTTCTCTCGTAGACTCAAAGAAGGTGTAGCTTTGAGTTTTATATTAATAGTGTTAGTGTAAAACAGTTCGAATTTTCTTAAGAAAATTTCGTTGCTCAAACCACAATATGATGATAGAGTACGGTAGACATTTTGGACTTAAAAGGGAAGATCGGCTTTGCCCGCTTTGTATCATACTAAATATAGAAAATGAATATCATTTTTGCCTGGAATGCCCTTTTATGGGAAATTAAGAAATGATATTCTCCCTAAATATTATCACACATATCCATCTGAAGTGAAATTAGCTCAATTGTTTACTTCATAGAATACTTATGTAATAAATAAATACCTATTTTGCCATGAAAAAGCGAAATAAATTTCTCACTGTCTTCGTACCCACAAATGTATAATTGTGCAGTTATCATGATGTTGTACGGTGCTCTAATGATTGTATATTCTGTACACCTGATGTATAATGGGCCTGTGGCCCTTTACTGAATAAAGCTCTCTTCTCACTAAGCTATTCATTTTAGAGTTATATTTTTCATTTAATACAAACAGCATTTTCTATGCTCAGAAATAATCAGAACAACACATAATTGCACAAAAAGAGAGTGAACAACGTGCATCGGCATAATATTTTAAGCATAATATGTACTTTACCTATATCGGCGAGGCAGAAAAATTATCCAGCATTTTAAAGACACACAAACCTGACTGCCGCTAATTAAGTGAAGCTTTCAATCTTCATCAGTATTTCCACTCACAATGTTTGTGATATTTGCAAGTTGTCATATCCTACAAATTAGATAAATAATTTATGGGCATACATATCATGTTAACTTTATTCAAAAGACAAAGAATTGTTCAGTTTTGTCTTCAGGTTTCTTCCTTTGGGAGAGCAATCTGTTTCATCATCTTCTTTTATAAAATATCATTTGATACAACTAGATTACATCACATTAACGTTCTCTGTGTTGCTCGAAATACCGTAACTGTTGGATTAAGTGATATCGGATAAAACTTCCTGTCGATGCGAAAGTACGTTCTGTACATGCATTGATGCATATACTACTTTAACATAGAATACACTTGTTTTAATTAATTACAAATGTTCACATTATCATTAACGTGCTTACAATATACCACCAATCTGAATGTTATTCATGTTAAAATTCCTTTCTTTGGCATCTATTGCCTGATATCTTTAAAGCACGAATGATTTGTCCAATGACAACTACTTCAAGGGAGGCAACTCTATTATACGGGTAGCGCTGCAACCAAGTATTCAGAACGCCTCTACATCAGTTATATTTTTCGAAGGAAACGTTACTTAATTGCGGAGAGATATTGCAAATCCTTGTTTTGGATTGAAATTTGTGGTTGCCACAAATTCCCATCCACATAACAAGGATTTGCAAACAGAAATTGCAGATCTTGGTAAACAACATGCTCCCCTGAAAACAGTTGTGTTGCTGGTTGGAAGGGCGACTTGCACGAGTGAGTGAGTGAGTGAGTATGGTCTTACGCCGCGCTAAGCGATATTCCAGCAATATCACGGCGGGGGACACTAGAAATGGGCTTCACCCATTTTGTCAACGTTGGGAATCGAACCCGTGTAGTCGGCGTGACTACGCAACCCCACCGTCCCGCTGGTTGGAAAAGAAAACAAGTTGAACTCCAGGCCAGTGTGAACTTGAATCGGTGAATTTGCTATCGATAATAGCTTTAATAATACATCAGAAAATGTTAGCTGTTAGTTTCACAAATGATTTTTTAATCACTTACAAATCTCTGTTTCACGGGAAACTGGGGAAAGGCTTCGTAAAGAAATTGCCATGTACAGGGTTTCCGTCAGTGAGTAAGTTCAGCAATACCAAGGCAGGGACAACAGAAATTGGCTTTACATGTTGAACCCACGTGGTCTTCGGCGTGACGAGCGAACGCTTAAATTACCACTATAGGTTAACTAAACCCATCTCCCTTGTCGCAGTGACTATGCGTTCTGAACTGCAAATACATATACGTACTGCATGACATTCTCCACGGTGAGTCTAGTTTTAAGTCCTGAGTATAAGCCACCAATGTAGTTAATCAATTCCAAATAAAAAATCCTTTCATTGAAGCGAGTATAATATGCTTTATTCAAATAAAACCCAAATAATTTTACAGCATCATTGTTTAAGTGTTTTGCGTTAATAATTATATAACACACATCTACAACGTCCTCGGGGAGATCAGACGTTCCTGATACGTTTCATATCTTTTGAGGAATTGGCTTATGTCGCAGTTGTCCACAAACACACTACTTTCAACATTAATTATACTTGCTTTCATAAATATGAAATTCGAAACAACAACTACTAAAACATTTGAGTTTGAATTAAGGCGAGATCATGTTCATGATGTCTTTAGCGCCATTTAGAAGTTGTTATGGATGACTGTTAGCGCCATACAGGATATTTTATGGATTTATGCTTCTTTATTCTTTCCCACGCAATGTTTCGGGATCATTACAGATACCTTTATCAGGTGAAGTGACAGTTGACACTATGACGTGTCCATAAAATATCTTGGAGATCAATATATGGTCCAAGATACGTTCCCGGCAAACCCATCTAATCGTTTGTTCCGGATTTTAAGTAACCGGAAGTTATCTGACCAAATCAACAAACGACGCCGCGAAAGCGGGCTGCTCGGTGTGAAAAATTACACTGGACCACTGGTAATGAACCCCTTATCGTTGGTATGAAAGATTAAACCCCGATTCCATAAACCTTCTTTAGCTTTTCTCATACTACTGCTACGACTAATTTAGGAACAGGGACGATGTTCGGATATTCAACGTGTGTTCTGAACACAAATTTTATACACTGTGTTTTACAGGAACTCTGGCCTCGATCGGCAAATAATATCAATGAAAATTGCGGTGTTTTCAATAGCACTATTGTCCAAGATGTCTGCAAATAGTTCGTTATTTTGCAGGCAAATTTTGTGAAGCCATGGTTCATCGGGCCCAGCCAGTATATATTGGTGGTGATCGGAAAGAAAGTCACAGGAAAAAAGTCACAATAACAGGCCTACCATACAAACGGTGAACAAATCATCAAAACTAAACTCATATACACCAAAACAAAACAAAAATCACGAAAATAGGAAAATAAAGTTCCCAAACTGCAAGAATATCCTCTAAAACCAAAACAATACATCTGTAATGGAAGACTAATCGTTTGAAATGGAAACAAAACTCACGTATCAGCTACACGAGCGCACGAGAACAGTCGCCAAGCGTACAAAACGGCATTCATAGTATCCCAACACGGCAGTCATAGCATCCCGAAACAGCATACAAATCGCCAAAGATTGCGGCGAGGGGAGACGAATAGGCTTTGGTATCCTTGTGTATTCGGTTTTCGGTCATGTAAGGTTTGTCGACCAACGTAACATAAAGTGCATGAATAAATTGACAATAAACAAACCTACCTCATTTGTTTGTTATTTATTTATGATATTCAAATATCTGACGGATTAACCTCGTGTTTCACCCGCACAGCAGGCCTCATAGTTCGGTACACAAAGATCGTTAATGCGGAAGTGACGTCATCTGTTTTCGTTCACTTCATAGGTTCTCCGTAAAACAGAAATCTAATAGCAGTATTCGTGCTATGCTGATATTTTTATAATATAAAGTTGCTAAACATCCAGTCGAAAAAGAATATTTGTAATAGTTCCAATAATAATTATTAGAAACTATGGTCGTAATAATTTCATATCAAAGTTATTCATGATAAGACTTTGCTAGTTACATCACATGTCCAGGCATGTTTCACTCCTCCGGTTCGCGCTGACAAGTGCACCAAAACTCATCAGAAGATCTCACTACACATACGGGGTGCATTGCAGAGGTGGACCCAGTGACAGCATGCAGGATGAGTACACTGGGCCCACGACACAGAAATAGTCATTGCAGTTTGAAAATTAAATGAGTATTTTGGAAAATCGTAATAAGAGATGACCCTATCCAGTTTCCATATATTTTTTTTTTTACGAAGGCAACGCCACGTGATATGTCATGTGATAATGATACATCATACCATAAACAAACAGACGACGCTATGCTGAAAAAGTGGAGCTGACGATATTTTAGATATAGCATTTTGATTACATGAAAATTTATGCATTAGTAAACTCCGTTCTAAAACGTAACATTTACATGTGTTTGCAATCATGTACCTTACTAAATTTCACACTAAGCATTTTGTTAGTCAGAGCTGAAGCAGTCGACCTCCTGCTAAAAATAACCTGTCTTGTGACATAATATGTTGCTAATAACCGCGAGAAATGAACACGCAAACGGCCGACTGAAAACAAATGTTGAACGAAAACAGATGACTCGGGGATACATAATGGCTTTCGTCACTATGAGTCTAATCTTGAAAATTTGATAATGGGATGTTGCGCATAAACCCCCTATTGTAGTAAGCTTCAAACCCTATGTCCATACTGCTCAGTGTCAGGCTTGCAATTCTGCACAATGTGGTCCCTCGTTCGACTGAATAGGATTTCTTGTCAACAATGACATGAGAAATCCTAAATGGCAATAACTGTTACAGTTAGTTGTGAGAAAACATCTATTTATACTGCCATGATTCCCTTCCGCTGCGTTATATAAAAAACATGATCAGTGGCAGTGAACGGGCTGGACACATCGATGAATAGCTAATTAAGTATCATGGTTAATTTTGTTTCATTAATTTAACAAACGGCAGAATAATTTTATTAAAAGCGCTAAAATATGGTGATAACTGTTCGGTAGCCAGTTGGTTTGAAAGTTGGTCAGAGTAATAAGAAGTTTGTTTACATAGTGATTGGATGGGGCCACCGGATCATTTTCTGTCATTGTTTATGGATCTTTGCAGATAATTTCATTTGGTCATTGATGCTATTTAAAATACAAACAATCACTTCAAATCATACATATTGTCATATTGTAAAACGTTTCCGGGTGTGAGTCACGCAGTTGCTTTAGGCAGGATCCAGTAAGTCGCCTCTTACGACAAGCATGGGTTGCTGAACCCATCAATTCTAGCGTGGAACTTTCAAGGTTCAACCCTAAGGACATAGAAAATGGATACATGTAACGTTTTCCTTCCATTTCAGACAATATGAGAAGATAAAATAATTTTTCGCGCAGAACATGATGCTAATGCAAAGAACATGCAGAAAAGGTTTCAGGATTCTTGGTCAAATGCCCTGGAATGTGCTCTTACGGCATTGGCACACAGATATCTAAACTGGCACATATATTTCGCTCCTATTGCGTCAACACACAGAGTACATGATTTAGACTACTGGGTGTCAGAGTTGGTTAGATGTTGATGTGGGTTTATGTTCTGGTAATATTTCGTTTTTGTATTTCAGACAATTCATCAAGTATGGCAACACATGCATTGTAGTGCATGAACCTGCCAGCAGCAAGCCAACATGGGGATCCGGGGACTGTTGTCGTACTGTCGAGAAGACATCTCTGCATGTGCTGACACCATCGACCTGGTCGAGGTCGCACGGCACAGGGATGGAATTACAATTCTTGTCGACTTTTTCTCCTTTGAACACCTCATCCTGGAACAATTCTGGCGTGGTCTCTCAGACATGTGTCACAACCCTTACCTCCAGTTTGATGGGGGTGAATACCAGACCCTTGACTCCTACCTGTCAAAGTTCATAAATGATTTAAAAAGTTTAGGAATTGAACTTGTGTTCTATGTGGATGGTGCCAAGGGAAGTTCATATGAGGGAACTAAGCAGAAGCTTGAAACGTGGAAGCATCGGCACATGCAGAACGTTCAGAACCTGAGAGAGATCATGGACATGTGTCGGGGGTGTTTCCTGTTGAGCAGCTTCACCGTGAGGCTCGTATGCTGCCTGTGCTGTTAGAGATCCAGTTTACAAATACCCTGAAAGCTTGTGGGTGTACTTGTACACCAGCTGCCTTTCAGGAGAGGCAGATTACATCATTGCACAAGAATTAGAGACAAATCCAAAGGCTGTGGCTGTCCTGAGCAATGATACAGATTTCTTAGTGTTTCGGAAGGGGGCGATGATTTCGAATGAGATGTTTGACGTACATGGTGACCTTCAACTTGGTAGGCCGATGGCTCTGCCAGAAAAACCTCTCAGACTTGTATGTCATGTTTTAAAGGCAGAAAAGGTTGCACGGAGCCTTGGGGTGAGTGAATCAGTGTGATATGTGTATTACTATTAGTAAATGAATTGTATTGCAATATATTGTGATCAAGGTATCCCTTATTGTGATACGTATTGCAATATATTGGAAACTTAAGCCTTCGACTGAAGGTGACACTAATTGTACATGTCAATCCTATTTTCTACATTATAAGCCCTAAAAATATATGTTATGGTTCTGATAACAGCAATCACAAACTTAGGTTGCATAGTCAGGGATGCTATTTTCTTTTTTATACAATTTTTATTGTTACAGTATGCCGGAAGGGCGGTGGGGTAGCCTAGTGGTTAAAGCGTTGGCTCGTCACGCCGAAAACCCGGGTTCGAATCCCCACATGGTCACAATGTGTGAAGCTTATTTCTGGTGTCCCCCGCCGTGATGTTGCTGGAATATTGCTAAAAGCGGTGTAAAACCAAATTCAGTCAGTCAATCAGTCAGTCAGTCAGTATGCCGAAAAACTTCTGTTGTGAATGAAAGTGTAGATTTTAATTTAAATTATACCATGATAAATTCACATATATGTGTCTTTACCCAATATACTGGTTCTCAGAAACAATATTACAATACATATCGTTTGAAAAGCGTATTGCATTTTACCAGTAATACATTGCAGTTCTAGTATTTGTTGTAATTGTACAAGCAAAACTATAATTGAAACAATTCCTCTTGCCGTTCAAAGACCTTAATTCAGACTCTGTAGACAAGTATAGCTGTAAGGAATATAGTAACTATGGTGACATGGGGATGAGAGATGAGAATGTAGCGATGGTCACCATTAAATATGACTGTCTCAAGAGGAGGGATATAATAAAAATGATGTGTTTGAGAAGCTCGTACAAAGGGGACATATCACTGTAAAATGTTACTTAGATTTTATAGGAAAATAGTAGTATATTCAGGTGGTTGGTTTATATCAAACCTCTGGATTCCCACAAACCCAGACCACTTGCTGAAGTCACAGACTGCAAATATACCATGTTCTCAAATCCTTGATTGAATTCAGGTGAATCTGATGCAAAGTGACCCCTCGTCAGTCATCAGCAATAGCAAATACATTTTGTTACTCACAGAAACTCAACCATGAGTCATTGATGACATAGCCTGTATTTTCATTGTATGTTACTGACATTGACATATCTGGATTTCTTCATGAAACTACTGGTTTACCACCCAATACATTGATAGTCAAGTTTTTATATATTTTTTTTAAACTGTTATTTTGAATAACACATAGTGCCATTACGTTTGGTGAACTGTGAAGTTTACAGATGATGCCGCACTCGCTGGATTTATAAGGCATGCGGAGAATGATTATCGCCTGAAATCACACAATTTCTTGATTGGTGTACAATCAATTTCCTTAAATTAAATGTTAAGAAAACAAAAGATATGGTAATTGATTTTCGGAAAAGTAAAAGTGAGCTGTTGCCAATTGCCATTGATAACGAAACCATGGATAGAGTTGAGGAATATAACTTTTTATAAGTATCTTGGCACAGTCATAGATTCTAAACTCACCTAGAACAGTAATATTGATTACATATACAAGAAAGGACTAAAGCGGCTATACTTCTTACGTCGTCTTCGTTATTTTAAGATCGACACAACCATATTGTCGTTATTTTATAAATCTTTTATACAAAGTATTTTAGTTTTCAACGTACATTGCTGGTATGGCGGTCTGTCTGTTCAAAATTGATGTAAACTTTCCAAAATTGTTAAAACAGCGAGTAAAATTTCTGGACTTAACAAGCAAGATATCGGCACTATTAACAAGCAGCAAATTGAAAAAAAGTATGTAAAATTTTAGATGACAGCACTCATGTCCTATTTCCTGAATTTCAACTTCTTCCTTCTGGCCAACGACTGCGCACGCCAATATTCAGAACAAACAGGGCTCGAAATTCTTTCATCCCAGCATACATCAGTGTTTTAAATGAATTATTATAATGTTTTGTAAATCATCTTATAATACTTTATCAATTGTTTCAAACTGTCATATCAATATACTTTTAGTGCAACTGTTCCTTAGCAAAATTTTTAATGTCGCCACTATTGCTCTAAATCTTAAATATATTAGTATTTATTCATCATTTATCTTTGCCTCATATATTGGCTGTTATTGCTAGGTATTTTAGTAATATATGACATATGTATGGGTGTTTTAATGTATATGTGTCTTTTGTTGTTTTGTATGTGTCTTCTATCTATCTATCTATCTATCTATCTATCTATCTATCGTTGTTTTGTATGTGTCTTCTATCTATCTATCTATCTATCTATCTATCTATCAAGAAGCTTAGTCTGACCTCAGGGGTGGAAATAACCCATTGCCCGACGTCGGACTCCGAGTCCAGTGTTTTTTCTGTCGGGCAAGCAAATTTGTATATCACACTGTACTGTACCGGTGTCCAGTTGACTTTCCAATGTTAATTATGTTGTTTATTTAAAAAATCAGCAAGAAAACGGTCGGTATACTGGAAAAAATATCAGGGCAAGTGACTTTACATGTGCCACTATACCGGAGTACACTATCAATTTTAAAGTTATTTCCACCCCTGGACCTTTTTCGTGTGTATTTTCAGTTGACAGAACATGCTCAGATTGTGGAACTGAGCATCGTTGCGGGCAATGACTACACCGGACCATTCATGCAGATACTATTTCACTCGCTTGGTATCGAAGGTCGTCGAAGTATTCAGAAGCTGGCCTCACTGGTGAGGAAGTACAATAATGTGGAGAACCATCCTGCAATCCTCCGCCATATGGTATGTTGAACACCTTGAAAATGTGTTGAAAACCATTAGTCATATATTTGCATGTATCATGTGTTGGAACTCATGGATCTTATATGGAATATTTGATATCATTATCACGCTTTAATCGAACCCCGCGCCGTGTTCACACCCAATCGAGTTTGTCCACGGTGATTGAATTAATTAGGGTCCAGGCGCTTCAGTTAGTACCGCGGAGCGCCCCTCAGTCTCGCGTACAAGAGACGATAGGCCGTCCTCGCGTACACGTTATTGGATCTTATATGGAATATTTGATATCATCATCACGCTTTAATCACCCCGCGCCGTGTTCACACCCAATCGAGTTTGTCCACGGTGATTGAATTGAATTAGGGTCAAGCGCTTCCAGTTAGTACCGCGGAGGCCTCTCGTCTCGCGTACAAGAGACGATAGGCCGTCTCGTGTACACGTTGCGTCTCTGACTGATCATGTATCGTACATGGTATGTTGGATATAATGTATCATATATGGTATGTTATGTTGGATATCATGTATCATATATGGTATGTTATGTTGTATATCATGTTTCATATATGGTATGTTATGTTGGATATCATGTTTCATATATGGTATATTATGTTGATATCATGTATCATATATGGTACGTTGTATATCATGTATCATATATGGTATGTTATGTTGTATATCATGTTTCATGTATGGTATATTATGTTGATATGTTTCATATATGGTATGTTGGATATCATGTATCATATATGGTATGTTGGATATCATGTATCATATATTGTATGTTATGTTGTATATCATGTTTCATATGTGGTATGTTATGTTGGATATCATGTATCTTATATGGTATGTTGGAAATCATGCATCATATATGGTATGTTATATGGGATATCATGTATCATATATGGTATGGTATGTTATGTTGGATATGTTTCATAGGTGGTATGTTGTTGTATATCATGTTTCATATATAGGGGTATGTTATGTTGGATATCATGTATCTTATATGGTATGTTGGAAATCATGCATCATATATGGTATGTTATATGGGATATCATGTATCATATATGGTATGGTATGTTATGTTGGATATGTTTCATAGGTGGTATGTTGTTGTATATCATGTTTCATATATGGGGTATGTTATGTTGGATATCATGTATCTTATATGGTATGTTGGAAATCATGCATCATATTTGGTATGTTATATGGGATACCATGTATCATATATGGTATGTTATGTTGGATATGTTTCATAGGTGGTATGTTGGTGTATATCATGTTTTTCATATGTGGTATGTTATGTTGGATATCACGTATCTTATATGGTATGTTATGTTGGAAATCATGTATCATATATGGTATGTTATGTTGGATATCATGTATCATATATGGTATGTTATGTTGGATATCATGTATCATATATGGTATGTTATGTTGGAAATCATTTATCATATATGGCAGTCCATATATTATGTAGCTTGTTGGCATCTAATCATACTATGTTGGCATCCATGATTCTTGTTGACATCCATGAATCATGTGGTATGTTGACATCCATGAATCATGTTGGCCTTATATTATAGAGCATGTTTGCATCCATATATCATTTAGTATCATATTATGTTGGCACCCATGAATCATGTTGGCATCCATGTATTATAGAGAATGTTGGCATCCTTGAATCATGCGAAGTAATGTTGGCATCATACATCATGTAGAATGTCGTCATCCAAGAACCATGGATGTTATTTTTACTCTGCCAATAAAACAATTCTGTTGAGACATTATGTAACATTGACATTGACAGACCTCCACGCCATCAAATTTGTTTCACGATCGAGCAAAGTCAATGAAACTTATGATTGCCATGGTTACACTTACAGCGAAGAGATCATCAGTTCGCAGCTGCCATAACTCACACCCGCAACTTCTATATGCTGACTTGCCCCGCGGAAAACCACAGTACACAGGGCTTCATCTACAACCTGCTGTGTGAAGGCATAGAACATGGGTCCTTCTCCCCACATGTCCTTGGTTTCCATAATGGCTTGTACTGGCGCCGCATCTTTGTGGAAGAGGTGGCTCACGGACATCCATCCTCTGAAATGGCTTTAATTGGCCTGAGGATGTACATCTATCGGATTGTTCTACCAACCAACAGACATCAGGTTACAGAACATGGTCGATCAGACCACAGGAACTACGAATACACGAGGGTAGGTGATTGTCAATGAGATGCCTTTGATTTGGAGAATGTGAGATGAATGTGTGGCCCATAATCTTAGGTGCTGCAATATGCTGTGAAAGTTGCTTCCCTTTGGGTGCCAGAAACCTATGATTATGGATGTTTAATCCTTGATTATTGATTTTAAATTCCAGATTAGCCCTCATTATTTTTCAAGGTTTGTCAGCAAAAAGCTCTGCTAATAGTTTTCCCCAGAGTGGTGAATGACAAAGAACTTTCTCCCAAAATCAAGTGGATGTGCTATGATTGATCAAAAATTGCAAAGAGGCAGCATTGGTCATATTGTCATTCTCTCTGTCATTATCAGCAGCAGTTTGTGCAGTTAATGTGTGTACACCGTTATTGACCTAATCAGATATACATTCACAGGTAAATATGACTGCTGGTAGTCATGAGCAAATGGCTATTTCTTGAAATTCATAAACGACCCGTGAAGGTCCGGGTTAGAATATTGATCTTCAGTAACCCATGCTTGTCGTAAGAGGCGACTAACGGGATCGGGTGGTCAGGCTCGCTGACTGGGTTGACATATTTGTCATCGGTTTCCAATTGCGCAGATCGATGCTCATGCTGTTGATCACTGGATTGTCTGGTCCAGACTCGATTATTTACAGACCGCCGCCATAAAGCTGGAAAATTGCTGAGTGTGGTGTAAAACTAAACTCACTCACTCACTGAAATTCATAAACATAGTAGCACATGTGCAGGTATCTCTGTCAGTTAATGATCACAATAACTTGTGATTCTATGTCAAGTGGTGAGGAATAAAACATCAGAACAGCCTGTTGTGTAAAAGGTCAACAAAGTAATTACAGTGTGCTTATGTAAATTAGCGAACAAGATGCCTGCAATATTTGACCATTACATTTTGGGCAAATCTGTTGCCCAACTAACATATGAATCAATTTAATCTTTTTGATGAGAGTTGCTTTAGTTGCAGAAGGTCCAAATGTATGTTTTACATGTTGTGTTTGTATCTCATCAATTATAGTCATTAATGAATGGGTGACACCTTGTGAGATGTCGGAGACATGATATTATAAGTTGTTCACTGGTCATCATGCGTGATTCAATGTTAATCGAGATAAAGAATCACTACTATGAAGTACAAAATAAGTTCGGCATTCCTAGCAGGTTACATCAGAGTTTTACACAGACTTTGAAGATGGGAGTCATGGTGACTCACAATGTCTATTTTGGGCGTCATTTTCAATATTTGGGAGTCATGAAAATTTAATATTTCTTTGTGTTTATAAATCAAAAGCAAGAGTTTGGCAAAATATTTTATTGTTTTATGTTGTATTGTCATTTTGTATAACTAGTTACTAATATAAGTTGTATGCTTCTCTCGAGGGTAATACAGTCTGATGTACGTCTTTTTGTAGCAGTGTCACCCGAGCCAGTAGCAAGGATTACTGTCTCCTCTGAGTTCTTTGGAACAATCTGACAGCTCTGTCAAAGTCAAACTATCGTCGAAAACTATCATTGTTTGCTTATCAAACTGATTTTATTGAACTGAATTCTGAGGGTCACCCATAAAACTTGCGTCACGCTTGACTCTTATAATATCGTGTGTGAGTCTTTTTACAAAATTGTTTGCATCAAATACGCAGGAATCATGCGTCATGTAAAACCCTGTTACATAGAAACTGTTACTCGCTTGTAAGCGGGGTGCATTGAAAATAATAGAAGAGCGCTCAGCCAATCAGAAAATGACATTTATGTGTGAGGCAAGATAATTATGCTCTTTCCTTCAGATCAATGCAACAGAAAACAGGATGATTCCTTCAATCAACAACATAAAACCACAGGAAATATTCAAAAATCTGAGGCTCTTTGATCACATTATGTCCCATCAGGAACCCCAGGGTGAGTACCCAATGGTACATGGTACTGTACATTTAACGCCATGGCCAGACTTTCATTTTCATAAATGGGCATCATTCATATTACTTGATTGGCAGTGGGGTAGCCTGGTCGTTTTAAGTGTTTCCTTGTCACACTGAACACCCTAGGTTTGAATCCACATTGATAAAATGTGTGAAGTCCTTTCAGGTGTTTCCCGCCATGAAATTGGAATATTCAGAGGTACAGATAAGCTGCGTATCTGCGTAAATTACGCAAACATTAATTTTATGTGAAAACTCAATTCATATTAAGTCTGTTGTGTACAAGTACGCTTGAATTTTTTAAATACTCAATAATACGCAGGGGTGGAAATAACCCATTGCCCGACGTCCGAGTCCAGTGTTTTTTTCTGTCGGGCATTCAAATTTGAATATCACACTGTACCGGTGTCCAGTTGACTTTTCAATGTTAATAATGCTGTTTATTTAAAAAATCAACAAGAAAACGATCGGTATGGTGGAAAAATAATCAGGTCAAGTGAATTTACACGTGCCACTGTACCGGAGTACACTAGCAATTTTAAAGTTATTTCCACCCTGAATACTTAATTTGATCTTACATGTGTACACAAAAAGTGTCAAATCTTAACTTACTGAGGATAGATAAAGTAACTGAAAGTATATTGAGAGCTTCTATTGCAGCACATGAACTTTGGCAACGTGCAGTCTTTCTTATCGATTCTCATATCACTGTCAAAATATAATAACAAACACGTAAACCCAATATTTAAACTTTATTATGTTTTTACAATTAATGGAAAATGGCAAAATACCCAATTGCATTTTAAGAGTGAGGTGGGTACAATTTATGTGGTTACGCAAAGGAAAAATTTGGATACCCAATTGAGATGAACACCAGTGAAAAATGACTCAAAAGTTATCTGTAGCTCTGAATCTTCACCCTCTCATTTTTACTTTCCCCAGTTCTACATTCCAGGAAGATTGTTTTGACTTTTCGGGAAGAGCTGTTACATCTGAAAAGCAAGTCTCTGTGAAAGTAGTTGAAATTTCAACTCAATTTTAGGATTCAACATTTGTGACTAAAATGTTTCACATATGCATCAAGATAATCAGCTAAGACACTAAACAAACTTTTAAGAAGTTTTCGTCATTAAGGCCAAGGTTAAGAAGTAATGATGTTGTTGATCACTGTATTGTCTGGTCCAGACTCGATTATTTACAGACCGTCGCCACATTGCTGGAATATTGCTGAGTGCGGCATTAAACAACAATCAAACAAAACTAGAAGTAACGTTTCATCCTGGAAGTGGATGGTTATAGGAAATACATTCTGTAATTTGAAACAGCAGTGAAGGGTTGATTCTGTTTCTGCAAGTATATGCAAATACTCTATTCCAGCCTTCCCAAAGACCTGGTTTGATCGATATGGAAGAAAAAATGGTTTCATATGTTACGTCCTACGTTATTTCCTTCTCCAAAACTGGGACTACAACCTGCGCATATCCGAAAAAGAGTTCCTGGCTTTGGTTGCCATAGCATTCGGCAAGACAAATGAAACATGGTACCAAGGACTCGGTCTGAGGCCTACTCCAAGATGTGTTACTGTTGGCAACTGGTTCCAGGTAATGTATACAGTGTTGTATTGTTGTACAGGGAATTATGTGTATCCTCATGACCTTGACGTATTTGTCATGTTTGTGTCGCCACCTGTTCTGGCTAATCAGCCATTCAGCTTGTAAGATCATTTTGTGACAAAGTATTTTAAAAAATGAAAACACAATATGTTACTCTCAAAAACTAAAATGCAATAAAGACTAGTGGATTCCCCACCAACTAAAATATGAGTTAGTCTTGCAGAACTGAGCAGAGGGTTTGAGAATGAGAGTTACCTCCCCTTGATGTATGTACAGTCGAGCACCGTTGTGTCGAACTCTGATAACTCGATATCTTGGTTGTCTCGATATAACATCTCGGTCCCGGCAGAATCCTTCATGATTTATCATTATTCAAGCTCTTTTAACTCGATACGAATGTCTCGATATTTCGGATATCTCGATATAATTTCATGGTCCCAACAAGCAAATTTACCCTTTTAACTCGATATTTACAAAGCAACTCGATATTCACCTACCTTTCATGGGCAAGTATCCCTCTGAACTGAGGTTGTTTCCACACGTTTACACACGGTGCGGCATGAATCAAAGGGATGCGGTAGTGTAAACTAATTAGGGTTAATTGAGTTGAAGGTGTCACTTGTTTGTTATTTAATTAGGATTAATTAAGAAGGAATTAATTAGGAAGTACTCACTGTTACGACTAAACACCACTGATAACGTATTATAGTTTCGAATCAAAACACACTTCTGAGAATCCAGTGAGGGTTTTGTGTAATCGCAATTGAGAATGACAGATGCGTTCACAAGATTTGTGGAATGAAGAGATGGAGGGCGAGATAAGGTACCAATCAAGATGGACACTGTAACATGAGGTTATTGTGTGTGACTGCGATCCCTGTGAGAAAAATGTATATGCAAATATATGTACAGCGAAATCTACTTATTTTCCTTATCCTGACTCATGCTATTTGTCTTGTCTTAGTGAACATAGTGGAACACTTGTATCTCCCAATTGAAGTTCCCTTCAATGTAAAATCACTAATTAGTACTCACCACGAGTTATCTGTCCCCTCGTAAGCGCGGGAACGAGGGCGCCACCTCCAACCATGTGCCTCACTCTCTCCTTCTTCGCCCAGTGAGCAGGACGTGAGAGCGCCTGTGTCTCCCTACACACTATATCCTTTATTTTTATTTAGTTTGTTACCTCTTATAATCATCTATAGAGGTGTAACTAGTATCCTTATTCAACATGCATTGATATTTATTCGTGTTTCTGCTGCTTTATTCACGGTCCGCCGTGTTTGCTCAGCAGATTGCATTAATGAAAATCTGCACTGTTTGTAAATTACGTTTCTCTGCTGCCGATCCGCATTTAATATGCCCTAGTTGTACAACGCCATGCTCTATTGTTTCACGCTGCAATTTATGTATTAAATTGTCTAATTCTGCCTTTGATAAATATTTATATTGCGTCTTGAGACGTGCAGCAGATAGATCTCGGAAACAGTCTTCAGTCATGGCTGATAGATCAGAGTCAGATATACCCTGTCAACTGTTGGCGGACGACCCTCTACCGTCTGGTGTTCCGCCTGAGTTACCTTCGGGGGAGAAGCGTGGGACGCAGTCCGCTATATCCAAGAAGCGACCTGCATCCCAGGACATCCCATCATCACAGTCTAAGACTAGGAGAGCTTCCACGTCGTCACAACGTACGCTCCGCACCCCCAGGGCTACAGCTTCGTCGAAAGGGAAACCTACGAAGGCTACAAAAACTTTTCATCTGACATTCTTCCTTTTTCAGAATTGTGTTTATATGATGATGATATTCCGATTATCATTCCAGATGTACGGCATAAGAAGCGACCAGTATCGGCTACCGTCACTTCAGCGCAGATCAACACGCAACCAGAGATGCCTAGGCTGACGGCCAAGATTCTAACTGAGGGTCCCGTCGCTACCATAGAGAGGGCTGCCTCAACGCCAGCGCAGACCGTCCCAGACGACCTGGTCAACCAGATTATGATGTTGATGGAAGACCGATAATGGGTTAACAGAGGTCTCAGAGCCGCGGGCCCCAGAGCCCAACCCATAATAAGTCATGTAGGGCCCCAGAGCCCGCTATGACTTCGCGTAGGGGCAACCCAGCCCTTGTCAGTCCGTTCACCACAATCTTCTCGTCGATCTTCTTACAGATCTAGGACTCCACCTCACTCTATTATATGTGATCCTACGTCAGAAGAGGAAGAAGGTATCGTATTCTCGGATGCAGAAATTAGATACTGATGGTGAATGGATTGGAACTTGCTTCCCTCGTCTAAGAACGAGAACTCAGCTCATACTTATTTGATGAAGGAAGATGATGCGGACACTATCTCCTTTACCTCCTATTGACCCGATAGCAACGGTTCCAGCTAATCTGGATACAGCCTTTACCAAATCTACGAAGTTTCAGTCAACACATTTCCCGGTTTTCAACGCCAAAAGTTTGCAGGCCACAATATGGACTCCTTTTCAAGGCTCAAGATATTGATGAGAACTTTAAGTTAATCAGCGATGCCAAGTCCAGGAATTACAGAATAGACGATCGCAAACTAGCCCAGTTGGATACCATTTCTAGGAGAATGTTTTTTGGATTGAATAGATCTAGAACTGTCAATGAAACCCTCATCACCAAGTTCAAAGATTCTACAGAGGAAGAAGATAGGATGATCTACTCGGCTCTACTCATGCAGAAAAGAGACCAACAGTTCCTTACAGATCACTTGTCAGCTTTACTGCAGCTACTACCATGGCTCGTCGTCAGGGTCTACTAGCCTCCTGCAATTGGGGTAATCAATTTAAGGGAATCCCTCTACGCTGCCCCGTGGTCATCGCCTTTGCTCTTTGGTGGTAACATAGACAAGGTCTCCAAAGAGGTGTCTAAGGACTCTAGAGAGGTGCTTATGATCAAGTCCATGGATACGTTAGCTAATGTCATTAAGCAAACATCCTTGAGATACTCTGGCAAGTCTAAATTCTCTGGACTACAGAAAGCACGGGACAAGAAATTGGCTACAGCAAAAGGTCCCAAGGAATCTTTTCGTCGCCCATACAGCAATTTCAGAGGAGGATCAGCAAGAGGCAGGTCATCCAGAGGTTCCCGCGCTTTTAAACGATGAAATACAGGTTCGGAACGACTGGAGTCTTCCACCCCCAGCCGTTCCAGTACAACCTTCTCAAGTGGGTGGACGCCTTCAGCTGCACTGGGAAAACTGGGGATTCCTACAAGATCCTTATGTATCCAACATCCTACAGCACGGATATCAAATACAACTCAAGGCCATACCTCCGTTGACAGTCATCCCTCCAAGGTTCGACTTCCAACCGTCACAACTACCAATGTTAAGAGAAACAGTAGCTACTCTTCTAAACAAACAGGCCTTAGAAGTTCTGGATCAGCGAAACATCGTACCAGGTTTCTACTCCCCATTTTTCCTAGTGCCCAAGAAAAATTCCAAGGAAAAGTTTCGTCTCATATACAACATGAGCATCTTCAACAGAGACTATCTAAGCAAACCGCCAGCGTTTCGCATGATACACTTACCGCAACTTCGGCACTTAATTTGTCCCAGAGATTACATGGCCAGCATAGATCTGCAAGACACATATCTACACATTCCGATTCATCCAAATTCAAGGAAATATCTAAGATTTATCCTAGACGGAATACATTACCAATGGAAAGTACTTCCCTTTGGAATCTCATCGGCCCCTTGGGTATTCACAAGAGTGACGAAACCTATTGTCTCATACCTACATCGTCAAGGTCTTCGCAGCGCGTTTTACTAGACGACGGGATACAAGTGGATCCAGATCCACAGCGTCTCAGACTACAGCTGAACTGTATAATCACGTTACTAACTCAACTAGGATGGTTAGTAAATCTACTCAAGTCAGACCTAGAACCAACACAAGGTCTGCAATTTCTAGGTATACGATTTCTAACAGCCCAGAATCGTATAGTAGTCCTGGAGGACAGATGGATCAAGATCCAACAGCTAATCCCACAAGCCTTACTCTCTCCGCTACCACTACGACAGTGGCAGAGCCTATTGGGATTACTCACATCAGCTCAAGACTTGACAGTCAGAGGCAGACTTCAATTACGTCCGTTACAAGTCCTCATCAATGCGCATCTCGAAGACCCTCTACCGTTCAGTCTACCAGATCACGTCAAACCTCATCTACTTTGGTGGACCAAGAGATTGAATGTTTGCATAGGCGTCTCCGTAATAGAGCCGGAATCGGAAACACATCTCTACGTAGATGCGTCACTACAAGGTTGGGGAGCCCACCTTGCCAACAGGACAGCGTCAGGCCTATTGAGCAATCAAGAGAGCAAGTTACACATAAATCTGCTAGAGATGCAAGCAGTCATAAATGCCATAAGTCACTGGAGCAACCTACTACAGAACGCTCAGTTGATGATTCACACAGACAATTCGACAGTGGCGTTTTATGTGAACAAACAAGGCTCAACAAGGTCACCGAACCTACTGTCTCTATATTTCCGATTGTTCGATTTAATCGACAATCTAAACATACATGTCAGAGCTTGCCACATTCCAGGAGCAAAGAATGTATTAGCAGACGCTCTCTCTCGGCCACACCTACCTTCGCCGACAGAATGGATGCTCCACACAGAGATATTCACTCAAATAATCAAGGAAATAGGATCTCCACTAGTAGACCTATTCGCCACTCGATTCAACAAACAACTGACAACCTTCGTATCGCCAGTTCCAGACCCACTAGCATGGGCAACGGACGCACTAAGCATATCGTGGGAGGGACTCAACGCGTACGCTTTCCCGCCACCAGCGTTAATCCCACAAGTCTTACGGAAAATCAGTCAAACGCAGAGCCTCCATCTGATTTTGGTCGCGCCCTACTGGCCAGCGAGAACGTGGTTTCCAACTCTTATTCAAGAAATCGGACAACCAATTCTACAACTTCCAGAGTGCTCGAATCTGTTGATACATCCGCACACCAAACAAGCGCACAGAAAGCCAGAAATATTCCAACTTCACGTATGGATTGTATCAAGGCATGTCTGAATAAGAGAGGTTATTCAGCCAGAGCAGCAAAAGCAGTCACGCTTGCCCTGCGTAACTCAACTCGCAACTTATACGATGACAAATGGCACAGTTTTGTCAATTATGCTGCAAAGAAAGGATTTACAGCCAGATATGCTACTCTTCCTCAAGTGGCTGACTACTTATGTTATCTACGTCAGACTAAGAATCTAAAAGGCTCAACT